ATGCCTCTTACAGTATTAAAGAAAGAAAGAAAGAATAAAAAAAAACCCCACATCAGCATTTCAGATACCTTCCCTCCAGAAGAGTAGCTTGGCTTTTGGAAATACTAATTGCCCCCAGTTCCCACCAGAGGCAATAGCAGATGGTAAATGCTGTCCAGACAGGACAGAATATTTTTATATGCTTAATTCCAGACTTGGAGAGGTGGGGGAGGCTTGTTTGTTCCTAGGTTATTTTTATGGTCTTATAATTGAACTCTGCTTCATGATTTGGGTGAGAAGTGTTCCTCCCATGTCCTTCAAGGCTCAGAGCTGAGCCAAAAAAGACATCCCAGGGAACAGTCAAAATGGTATCTTGTGAAAATGAGGATTTTTAATTAAGTTTTGTTGGCCACATTACTGCATCCCAATCCATCCCTCTTTTCCTGTCTCTAGGCTCCATTGGAAGCTTTTCTGTTTGTTGTTCACTCCTATTTTGTGTTTCTATGTGTGTGTGTTGCAGACCCCTGAGTGGCTGGATAGTGACTCCTGTCAAAAATGTGACCAGCCTTTCTTCTGGAACTTCAAGCAAATGTGGGACAGTAAGAAAATAGGTCTCAGGCAGGTTTGTGTGCATCTTTTGGTCTGTTAACATGGTGCAATTAGGCTTTTCTCTCATAATAGGTCACGGTAACCTTTTTTACCCTAAAGTCTTGAGAACTTGCACTTTGTTATTCCATTGAGTGCTCAATAGTGGGACAGTGGGCTCCTCTCTGATGAGGCTTGATTTTGTGGTTGGGAGGAGCACACTTCTTTTTTCTTTTATCTTTTTTCTTCTTGTTGTTTTGATTTTTTTTCTTTTTTTCTTTTTTTCTTTTTTTTTCTTTTTTTTTCCCAGCCAGTCCCAATAGCAAATGCATGGATTCGGCCTTGGGCTGAGTAAATTGGTTTTGGGCCTTCTGTGGTTTTAACCATGTGGGATTTTGCTTATTGTTAGTTGAATGTGTTATAGAAAGAAATTTGCAGCTGATTTTTGGAGATTGTGCTAGAACCAAAGCTGTTTTCAATGAGGTTGAGTAAACATCTGCAACTGCTCAGGCTGTGTTGGAAAAGGCTTATTGGTCTGCTTGGAACACATTTGCATTTTCCTGCCCAGCAGGAGAGGGCCACAGATCACAGACTTTTGGGAGAGGGGTGTAAAAATGCTGAAAGGGATATTGTCACGGAGCTTGGAGAAGTCAGGTGTCTTGGGCAGAGTGGAGCTGCATCCTCCTTTGTGCAATGCTCATCACCACAGAGCCTGGCTCTCCTGCAGCCAGCGAGGCAGCCTTGTGGTCCTACACAGCCAAGTGTATGAGAAAACACGAGGCGGGTAGCATCAAAATGCAGAAACAGTAGTGCTTCTGAGGCTGAAAATGGCCAAAGGAGTTGACAGATGATTAGGTGGTAGATGTTTATACTTAGAGGCTGGGATGGGACTCCAGAATGACTTTGCACTAATGTAGCCCTGTCCTACCTCAACCTGGAGATGTTTTAGTGTGTCATGTGCTGCGGAGTGGTGGTATCATCCCTTATGCCCCAAAGTGAGACTCCCAGGGACAGGGGTAATTACGGTTCCCAGCCCTGCAGCAGATGCCTGGCTGGCTGGGACACATCTCCTGGGTGTACAGGGGGGCTCTTTGTCCTGTCCTCTCATCTCTAGCTCTGCTAACGAAAAGATGACAGCTTGGACTTCCTTCTTCCCTGTTGAAATCTCCCTGTAACACTGGTCACACTCAGTGTAGAAGCCCTGACCCACAGCTACATCCACAGATGTGAAGTGGTGGAGGTGGCAGTGATTTACTGGGTGGTGTATGGTGTCACCTTGGAGCTTGGGAGAGAGGTAGAGTCCACCTAGCCTGGGTAATGCTTTATCTGCCACTTCCTGGTGCCCATGCTAATGATCAGCTGCTGCTTGCCCCAGGTAGTGAAGGAGGGAAAAAAAAAAGATTCCCCCCTTCATCCCCCATTTGTTCTGAAGTCCTTGCCTGTTTTCCTTCATCTTCCCTGGAAGAGGCACTTTCCTGTTTGCTGCAGCCTTGATTGAGTCTTTCTGGAGTGAGATGGTAGAGCCAGTGGGACCCAAGGAGTGATCTGGGTTTGTGGCTGAAGATGTCTTTCTGCACGTTGTCTCCTACAGCATCACTGCCGGAAGTGTGGGAAAGCCGTGTGCGGCAAATGCAGCTCCAAGCGCTCCTCCATCCCGCTGATGGGGTTCGAGTTTGAAGTGAGGGTCTGTGATAGCTGTCATGAGTCCATAACAGATGAAGAGTAAGTGTGGACATTGAGCCAGCTTGTGCTGGAGTGGGGCAAAGCTCCTGCGTCTGGGAGGGCCTGGGTGGATGTGAGGCTCTGGGAGGGGAGCAGCCCAGCATCCCTGGGCTCTTTCAGCAAGAAAAGCCTCTGTGGTGCTTACCCCAAACCAGGAATGATAGAGAGCCCTCCACCCCTGCTCCTTTTGTGCTGGAAAGGTCTCAAAGTTGAGTTTGCAGAGAGCGTGCTGAATTAATGACTTTCAGCAGCATTCAGATACTTATTTCCTCAATAGAGAACATTTTGGGGGAAAATCCTGCAGTCACAGTATTTGATTTTTGGATATCTTTCTTCAGACGGGCGCCCACAGCTACTTTCCATGACAGTAAGCACAACATCGTTCACGTACACTTTGATGCCACCAGGGGATGGCTGTTGACCTCGGGGACAGACAAGGTTATTAAGGTAGGAGTGAGGAGGTTGCTCCTGTATTTCATTTCCCCTTCCTCTCCCCTGTGGTTGCAGGTATGTCCTACCTGCTTTCTTCCACCTAGAGACCTCTCACTGATGGACTGCTGCCCAATAAGGACCAAGGAGGTCTTGGTCTATGAAGTTATTGCCTGAAGGGGTTGGGACGAGTGCTTACTGTAGCTTTTCCTCTGGGAAGACAAACTATTTCAACATGGTGAATCTTTGTGTGGCTAGGTAAAGAAATATCTAAAATAATGCATAAGTTTATAACAAAGATTGAATAATTTGAAAAAAGCCCTCACAATGTGTTATTACTATGCTAATCATTCAAGTTAATGATATAGTGTGGGTTTTTTGGTTTCTCCTAAGGCCAGCTCTGAACCTGGCTCATAAGGGTAAAGCATAGTGACATACAGAATGTCCTTTGGTCAACCCCCACCAGCCTGACATGATTGCTGGCAAATGAAATCAAACTTCTTCAGACTTCCTGCATCCACCTCTAACCATGTAGCCTCTCTTAAGCAAAAAAAAAAAAAAAAGGGGCCAATTATTTATTATCCAAAGAGACTTGGACAAGATGGAGAAGTGGGCCTGTGTGAACCTCATGAGGTTCAACAAGGCCAAGTGCAAGGTCCTGCACCTGGGTTGGGGTAACCCCTGCTATCAATACAGGCTGGGGGAAGAAAGGATTGAGAGCAGCCCTGCCGAGAGGGACTTGGGGGTACTGATGGATGAAAAGCTGGACATGAGCCGGCAATGTGCGCCGGCCACCCAGAAGGCCAACCGTACTCTGGGCTGCATCGGGAGCCTGATTGCAGCCTTTCAGTACTTAAAGGGGGCCTATAGGAAAGATGGGGACAATCTTTTTAGCAGGACCAGCTGTGACAGGATAAGGGGGGATGGTTTTAAACTGAAGCAGGGTAGGTTTAGACTGGATATAAGGAAGAAACTCTTTACAATGAGGGTGGTGAAACACTGGAACGGGTTGCCCAGAGAGGTAGTGGAGGCCCCATCCATGGAAACATTCAAGGCCAGGTTGGATGGGGCTCTGAGCAACCTGATCAAGTTAACGGTGTGCCTGCTCACTGCAGGGGGGTTGGACTAGATGATCTCTAGGGGTCCCTTCGAACCCAAAACATTCTTTGATTCTATGATTTAGAGATGACATTATATAGTATATTTTTTATTATGTTTATTATCATTATTCACTATTTTGTTATATTTTATTGTATTAACAGTTATGGGATATGACACCAGTAGTGTCTTGATGGTACATCAGTGGAACTTGAAAGGTGACACTTACAGAAGAAACAGATTTCCTAACCCTAATCATACTGCAGAAGATAGATAACGCTGGGTGCATACAGCAGATGAGAAAGGAACTAATGCGTTTACAACGATTTTATGTCCTCTGCTTGATCAAGGCTGAACATTTGCACGAAGACTCTTTCCACTTATTCTCAAAATATACAAGAAGGTATTTTTTTAACTAATGGTTTGTACGATCTGACTTTGGTTGTCTTGAGTTTGTTTGGAAAATCCATGTGCGGTGCAATTTTTAGTTTTTATATTTCACTATGTCAAGATACTTGCTGCTTTGTACAGAGGGTTCTCGGGTTGTGTCTTACCACGTGAGTTTTTGGTGTCAGCATACTGTATAAGGCAATCGGCTGTCCCCACAGTGAGTACCTATAGATTTGGGATGTTTCCACTGACCATGCTCTCTTCAGTGGAGGAACTCCAGGTGCGGCGTTGCCTGTTCTCTGGGTGCATCACCGAGGAGCTGATGGACTATTGCAATTCCTAAAAGGGCTCTACCATCTACTTGTCATAGCAGACATCATCCAGAGAGCATTTTAGTGGTTTGTAGTAGCTAAAATCCAGCTTCCTGCCTCTTTCCTTGCTGCACAAGTTGCAAAACCAGGGGGCAGGTTGCTTAGCAACTAATTTCTACAAAAACTGAAATAGTTTTCTGTCTCAGAGCATTACAAGAAGCACACAGACCCATTTGAGTTTGATGAGGCTGACAGGCTGATTCAAATTAAATTATTGGCAACAGAAACTTTTGAGAGTGTGTGCATGGGGCGGGGGGGCAGATCTAAAACTGGTCTAGGTCTGAAAAGTCTGGTTTACCTCTACCTCTACCTTGCGCAGCAACATTTCAGCATTTAAACCTGTCTGTGTTGTTGAAGATTAATTTGATTTTCCTGTGTTCCATATGGTTAGTCATATTTATTTTTTAAAATGCTGATGGTTTTTATTAATTTCCTCTATAGACCAGAAACTGATATTGCTGAATTACGCCCATTGTCCTGTTGTGATATTTTACGGTTTCTATTAAAAATAAAAAGTATTTAAAAACCTGGATTGACCAAAATTACCTTTCTAGAAGGATGTTGTCGAGATGAATAAACAAAAAAAGCCTGTTTTTCCAAAAGGATCTTATCTGAAGAGTCAACTCTCTGTTCCTTCAATCCGTTTCACTTTTTAACACATTATTGCTGATGCACTTCGAAAAAACTGGTGTAGAGAATAGAACTGCAGACCAGACCTAGGGCTTTCCTGTATCTCCTGTTTAAGCAGGCCTCATAGTCTGTAGCTGCTGTAACACAGCACATCAGTGGTGCTCGGTCTTGCCCCATTTTGGACTTGGCCATGATGTTTACCACTACAGAGCACATTGCTACCCAGAGAAGCCGTGTCTTTTGCCTTGAGTGATAACACCAAAAGAAAATAAAGCTTCTCCTTCGTTTGCCCAGCAGCAATTCACTTCTGAGGAAACAAAAAGGTTAACACAATCCATGGCATTAATTCTAGATTAGTGAGCTGCCGCAGTAAAGGGTGAGTGGACTTCCGTGTGCGTGTTGCAGGACTGCTACATATTTTCAGGGAAAATTGTCTTTTTAAACATCCTATAAACTGTGCTTAAGCATTTTGCAGTCATGTTCTCTGAAATGGTGCCACCTTGGCTTTCCTGGTCATACAGCCTGTTGTTGGTTCCCCTCTAGGCAGCATATTTTAAAGCATATTTTCAAACATAATTCACACAGCACCAAAAAGATTCTTTTTCCAGCTTGAATGTTAATTGTTTTCTAAGTCCTCCCACTTTCTCTCCTGGAAGCTAGATGCTTGTTTCCTCTTGGAAGGCTTTTCATTACACCTTGTGCATGTTTTCTGATGACTGAAGTGTTCTTGGCTGAAAAAGCTATGCAAGATGAGCAAGTTGCCTGCCAACATTTCATTCCAGCTGGAGAAGATGTGTGAAACTTTGCTGGACTATGCCGTTCCACGTTACCTTGGGCTTCAGGGCCCTTTGGCTGAAGACCTGACTTACTTTGCTGTACAGAGAGTCTCTGTCACGGTAGCAGGAATATGGGAACACCAAAGAGAACTTAAATCACTGTTCAGCACTCTGTTCCTGAGGAGAGGTAGCGATTGCAACAAGCCTGGGACTCCAGCGTGAGCTGTGCTTACGCTGATGCAGCTGTGGAGTCAGCAGGCCTGAGGATCTGCCCCTGAGTCAATGTCTAGTCCTTTGGAACATGTAATCTTCAAGCAAAGGTGAGGAATCGAGTCCAAAGGAGACTAAATTTGGGAGCGAGGTGTGTTTGGACTGCTCTGCAGTCAAGTGTTGGCCACCCCCCATTCTCTTCCAAGCAATTGTGGGTTCAGTGTCACTTATGGGTGGATGTTGGGTATACAAATCCATTTTGCAAAATTCCCTTGCTGTTTGTTCTGACTGAACTACCTGCAGGGTTATCTGAATTTAACCTGAACATTTCCTTATCTTGCAGTCTGAGGACAGACTGGTCTTGGCTTAGAAAGTGATACAAGCTGAAAGCAAAGCTGGCGGAGAAGGGGAAGCGTGTCCCTTTGCTATGAACTTAAGAGCTGTAACGTAGAGATATGAAGGGAAAACAGGTGCCTCTAATTCAAACAATAACTCCTTTACCTCCCAAATGAAACAAGGACTTGACGCTGGGCAAGTTAAGATGCCTGCCTTCCTGTTCTGCCGTGTTAGGGTAACAGTCTCAATTTCTCCTGTCTTCTAGATCCATACAAAAAGGGATCCCCATCGCCTGGTCCTTTTATTTCCATTTCAGTTGCTGAATAACAAATCTGAGCTATTTTTATGAATTGCATTACTGGGGAGGGGAGATAGGGTGTCTTTTGGTACAGATGTAAACTATGCAGCACCCCCCACACACACCCACACACACTTAAGCGAAGCAAAGTCCCTTTTTCCCCAGGGTTGCTGAAGTGCAGCAGCAGGCTTTTAAGTGATATCTCCTGCTGTGCCAAGGGGCGTACAAACAATGCTGGCCTTCCTCTGCTCTTCACTTCAGAAAAATTGATTTTCATTTCTCTCTTAGCTGGTGTTTCCTTGGGGGAAGAAGCTGTGTTCTTCAGAGCATCTGCCTCCCATTCTTGGTTTCAAAATGAACAGTATCTGTAGCGCTTAGGCAGGTGATGGGGCAGGCACTGGTCGCATACGTGGTGCCTGAGCAGCTGACTTGAGCCACTTGTGTTCCAGGTGGCTGAAGGAAGGCCAACCTGAGCCCCAAACTTTAGTCTTTTTAAGCTGAAAATACTTAAGTAAAAGGAAAAGTATGTGGGCAACTGCTTGCAATGATAGCACTGATGGTCCTTCCACCTGCAGGAGACTAACATCGTGGTTAGACTTGGTCAAAACAGGGTAGCGTGTAAGGCTAAAAGTCGGCCAGCCTAACAGAGAATGATCCTGAACGGTGACATGAATGTGCTCAGCTGTCAGCGCTCTTGCTTACAGCTGCTCGTTACAGTGAAGCCCAAGTGACCTCTCCACCTCTTGAACTTGAGGCCATCATCCAATTGTCAGCACATTGACTTTTAGCACATCAGAAGCGGTAACTGTGCTTTGCCTGAGAGGGTGGCATGCGTATCTCCAGTACTGGGAAAAGGAGGGTCGTGTTCCCTCTGGGTAGGGTTGGTTGCTGATAAGAAGGTGGATGACTGGGCACACAAAAAGGATTGTGAATGATGCAGAAAAGGTGTAGGGGAAAAAAAAAGTTTGCTTTATGCCTAATGAGGAAATCACTGTTAGAGAGGAATATGCAACTTAATTCCCAACTGTGTACAGTTCTGGATTCCTTAGTGCAAGAGAGTTGAAGCTACTGGATGGAGTCCATCAAAGGGCCACTAAGATGATGAAGGTACTGGAGCACCTCTCCTATGAGGGAAGGCTGGGAGAGCTGGAACTGTTCAGCCTGGAGAAGACTCAAGGGGGATCTCATCAATGTATGTAAACACCTGAAGGGAGGGTGCAAAGAGGACAGAGTCAGGCTCTTTCCAGTGACAGGCCCAGAGGCAATGGGCACAAACGGAAACACGGGAGGTTCCCTCTGAAGGTCAGGAAACACTTTTTCATTGTGAGGGTGACCGAGCGCTGACAGAGGTTGCCCAGAGAGGTTGTGGAGTCTCTCTCCTTGGAGATATTCAAAAGCCGACTGGACATGTAAAGTACTAGGGCTACTAACAAACTGGCAAATGCTGCGTATGCCTGTCCTTGCTGCTTACAAAAGGGCTTGGGTAAGAACAACGAAAATTTTGGTTTGTAGGACACAGGAAATACGTCTACGATGTGTCATTTTAAGGCTATGTCCTTTCCAGGAGACCACATTGAGCACATGGGATGTTTTCAATTAGGCTTTAGCAGACTTTGTTTCTATATGTGACTATTGTCACTGTATGCAAGAGTAACAACAATCTTGATCCTTTTTTCAGGATGGATTAATGTGCTAAGTCCCTTCAGCGTTGACTTCTTGTGTAACACTGAGGAAAAAACATATTTTTCTCTTCAAAATTGCATGTGAAATTTGGCAGGAAATCTTTGTTCCTCAGAAGAAAAAAGCAGTCCCTAGTTTGACAAGAACCTGAAGTTCTGGAATTTGAGATTCATTCTGTGTGGTCACATGTGACTTTTCACTGACTTTTCCCGGTTTGGGGGATTTTTCCTCTGTGACCAGTTTTTGTCCACCTCTGAAATTTTGTTCGCTGCAGGACAACGTTGTGCTGCTAAGAACAGGAAGAGGTTGAGTTCAAAGGCATTGAAATTGGTGCCATGTGGGGACATCGAACTCAAAAGAAGATGAAAACAAGAGAGCACAGTCTATTGGCAAAGTCTCTGCAGAGAAGAGATGCCAAGAGAGAATGTTATCAGCATACAAAAAAAGCCAGTAGTGTAGAAATGAATATTCATCAGGACCGTACGAAGCCGAACCACCCCCTGTCCCCGCACTGTTCAGCTGACCAGCGGCCCCGGTCAGCATCCAGAAGCCACGAGGAGTTACAGAGTTGTTCTGGCGATGGGGTGGTAGGTTGAGTCTATGAAGATCTGACTTCAATTTCTTATTCTTTGGTTTAATTGCCTGATAGTATTTATCTCCCTCAAGTAGTGCTGTGAGAAATGCATCAAACGCAGAAGCATTTTGATATTTAAGTGATGGGGAAGAGACACATCGCTGCTGAGATGGTGCCGAGAGGTGTCAGGCCCTGTGAAGATACAGGTTTTGCGTCTCTCCAGTTACTTGTTCCCTATACATTAAATAATCTGAATTCATTAAAGGTTTTATCATCTTTGTACTTTCCAGGCTTCTTGACACAATTTTTTTTTCATCCCTGTTCACTGAATTCAGCAGCTTTGCAGATACCAACCAAACACAAACATTTTATAACAGCTCAGGGCCTCCCTCAGACGTGAAAGACCCATCATTAACACCTCTGCTTTGCCCCAAGAAAACTGTAGCCTTGCCACCACCAAGTAATCCAGAAAGTTTCAGAAAAAAGAGTACTTTAACTTGTTTCATCTTTGTCATTGCCACAAGTTTCAGGCGTGGTTTAGTTTTCCAAAGGCTGAGTGTTGTTTCTGACTCTCGACTTGGTGAGTTCAGTTCACTGTACTGAGCAGGATCCTGTGGGTTTTGTTGTCTTTCAGAATAGCGGGATTTTTACGTGGAAAACTCTTCCTAGCTTTTGCTCAGGTCAGTGTTTTCTAGGAATACTGCTCAGCCCTTTGACTGTCTTTTCTGGTAATGATATTGTAACACTTTCCAGTTCTGTTCCATTACGTAAACAAGCGTCTCCAATGAAACAATGAATACATTGCGCTGGTTTAACCCCACTCAATTAATTTCTATCAGCTTCTGGCTATTACTTTTCCATCTCAATGTGCGTGTTGATTTGTAACAAGGAATTTGGGTTACTGAGTCTTGACTGGACCTGTTCATCCAACTTTCCTATGAGTTGGCATAAAAGTGACAACGCTGTGCAGGCAAGCAGCGTCGTTCCTTTGCTGGGACAAATTCTCACCCTGACCGCCCAGCAGTGAGCGTGCAGGGTGTTTGGGCAGGGAACGGATTGCACAATTTTCTGCATTGCCTCAAGGCTCCCTGTGGATTGTGGATTCTCAGCTGGGAAGCAAAGGGAAGGTGCTCAAGAAGATGATGTTTAGCCATCAAGGAAAACGCCCCTGCCTGGCAGCTGCCTGAAGCCTGCACCAGTGCAGGTTTTACCCCTTTTCCTCTCTTCTAGCAACATTTTTGTCTGTGAAATACCGCTGTCGCTGCTGGCACAGCCAAGGTTTGTGTTGTTTCTCGTGACAGCAGGCTGAAAACCTGGCCTGCTGATGCCCTTTGGGCAGGGTGGCACCATCTCCGTAAGGCTGCGGGTTCGGTCCTACTCTGAGAGAGAACAAGCTTCCTTCGCAAGAGCAGACGGGTTTTCCTAACGTTTATCTGATGGCTCCCTCTAGAGAGAGAGGAACATAAATACTGACCTACTTCACATGTGGATTTGGTCAGTTTTAGTCCCAGAGAAGTGGTTTTGTTACACTCGCTCCCAGTCAGGCTCCTTGCCTTTTCAATGCCTTCTTTCTCTCATTGTCTCGTTCAGTCCTGGCAGGGTGACTGCAGGAAGAGAGAGTTCTCAAGTCATCTTTTATTCGCGTTTCAAAATTACCTCCTGTAGTCAGCCGCTGGCTCTGCCCAAACGCGCCCAGAACTCCCTCTCCCAACAAAACCAGAGATGTGAGCCCGGCGGACAAACAGGGAAATCCCCTGAGCCGAGCCCGGTGTGATCTGAAGCTTCCCGCTGCCGTTCAGGGCGGTAACAGCTCGTTGAAAAAGACAGCGGGTGGAAGCCGACCAGCGCTAATTTTAGGTAACTAGGATCCGGTGTCATGAGCAGGGGAGCTTTATTTTTGCAGGGAGTGTAAGAAAGCAACAGACACAGGGAATGGAAGAAGGGCACGGGCCGGAGGAACTTACGGATTAAACTGGTTTATACCTGCCCTTCTCCACTGGACTCCGTGGCCACTGGGTTGTTCTCTGAACAAATAATGCCGTGTTCACTCTCCGCTCGCCGAGTTAAACATTGGTTAATGAAAGCTGGTACTGCGCCTACTGCTGTGGCTTTAAAAAAAAGCTGTTATTCAAAAAATATAATTAGTGATTGAGTTGCAAATGAAAATGTGTCTGGCCCAGGGCTGTGTCCCAACAAATAAAAATTGTTTACATGGAGTTTTTCAGCACTGACTTAAGTCTGTTGCCATTCAAGGCTATAGTAAAACTCCCCTCTTTGAGCCCAGGCAGGGCACATTCAGCATCGCACCCGAGCCCTCTTTAACGGGATGGGGCGTCCCTGCTTGCGTCCTGGTCCCTGTGCATGGAACAGTGAGCACAAAAGCTGGTGGGTGCATTGTCCGAAAAGCGGATCCGTGGCCTGGTGTGCAATGTCAGTTGTCACACAGGTGCATTGGTGCAAATGCAAACAGTTAATATTTGGGGTTTACTCCAAAATAGTGAGGTATATGTGGGAATGCCCTGCTATTCAAAGGCAGACAACAAACAATTTTTTATACCTTTAAGCACCCACAGGTTGTTTTGTTGGGTTTTTTTTAATAAAGCATAAACATGGTCCAGAAATGAAACTTAGGAAGAGAGGAAATGCAGTTTACAAAATCATCTGATACCGGTTACATTGACCTCCTAAGATTTTCACCCAAAACAGAGGAAGGTTTCAGTGGCCCCCTCATTGCTGCGGCTGGTCCCACTGTGCTGGCAATAGGCCATGCCTTGCCATGAGGTCGTGGGGAAATGAGTCTACATGTGGTCTGTGGCACTGCATCCCTCTTTGTGTGAAATCCCCGAGAGCAGGGGAAAAAACCCCACAAACAAACCCCTTCCAACTGGGTGACTTCACAAAAATGAAGAAAAAGGCGAAAGCTTTCAGAATGTGAAAAACAGCTGAGGTCAGAGGAGTCATCTCAGCTGGAAAGCTGACAGGAGCAGTGTTGGGCTGCAGGTGGGAAGGGACGGGCAGTACGGACAGCGGGGACAGCGGCAGTGCTTGGCGTTGGGCTCCTATCAAGCAGGGATGTGCTGAAGGCCTCGGCTTGCCCCGCGCAGCAAGAATCTGCTCCACCTTGTGTTCCTGGTCACCCGTCACTGGATGCCATTTTTCTCTTGCCCCTAAAACTTACATAGGTGGCACTAAACATATTTGCTCACACACAGGTTAAAGTCATTCTGGAGTGCCTTAACACAAAGCATCTCGCTGGCTTTACAGCCGCACGCCAGGTTTGCTCTTGTGGAAGAGCCTAAGACCAAAGTGTGGGAGACTTTGGATTTTGTTTCTACTCACTGTCCTGTGTTTTAGTTCTTTTTCTTTTTTTTTCAGTCATCCATTCATTCATTTTAAACCATAGTACCTGGCTCTTTTACACTGTGACCAAACTTTGATTAAAGCAGTTTTCATACATTTGGCTTCGTTTTCAAGCTGTGACTAAAAAGACAGGCTACTCAAATACATCAGTACAGCATGTGGACTAAAATATATGGGGTTTGTATGTATATATATATATATATAGTGTACTTTTGGTTAATTCTATGAACTATTTAAATACCTGGCATTAAGCTTTTCTTCTGTACTGCAGAGCTGAGAAGCAACTTGACTTAAATACTCAAGTACGCAACTAACTGTCTGTCTGAGATTTGCAGCTACCAGATAGAAAAACGTAGTTACGGCTTTCAGCCATGCACTTATTTTCAGTAACTCTATTGAAGAGTTTGAACCATGTAAAATTTTAATACCAAACTTCTAAGAAACAAACGTCTGTACAAGCCTTGCTGTTGTTTTTTCTCACTGTACTGCAAGAAGGAGTTAAGTTTCTAAAATGAAGCAGTAGGTTGACTGCCGATCCAGCCTCTTCAGGAAGAGCTGCGACAGCCTGACGTGTCTCACCTCTGCTTAGCACAGGAACAACTTATTTCAGGGCTCCTCTGACAGTAAAGCCTTTATTTCCACAGAGACTGACGATAGACTGAAAAGAGGTTTTTCTTCTAAATTGATACTTAACAGGACATTGCTGAATAATGAGTAAATGCCATCAGCCAGTAGGACATCTTTTGGGAAACTAAATTATGTAAAGCAGACATAATGGGTTCTCCTCTGCCCCTCAGCATGGCCTTGAGCTACCAGTCACTGTAGAGAGCTCAGGAACGCCTGTGTTGTATTTGTGTCCAGGTCTTTTGTCCCACCACGCTGGCCCTGTGTAACACAGCAGCGCGGCTCTGTTGGGTTCTGTACACAGTTTGCTATCAACCACATTCAGGTCAGGAGAAAAATGTCTTACTGCTACCGTTATTAATAGCTTTGCAGTAAGTCTGAAATACATAAGACAAAAGGAATCCCACCTGCTTGTCTTATTCTGAGCTGGTTGTCTTCACCCCGAGTAGGAAGATGTAGGAATGGAAGGGTTGTTTCTTAAGCTAGATCCGGTAAATCACTGTGAAAAAGCCTGTTTTCACTCTACTGATTTACAGTGAGAATCCCAATGAGTAAGTCAAACATCCACAGGTCAGGTAAGCCGAATCCCATCCTCTGTGTCTGGAAATAAACAGTTCCAGGCAAAATACAGCCCTCTCATCAGGAGGTGGACTTCTCCTCTAAAACCTGTGCACCCCCCTAGTGTTCCCTTCCCCCTCTTAATCCACTCATAACGATAAAGCAATTCCCTTTGATCTTTCACAGAAATGGCAAGCACGTATGGCTTAGCATGTTATTCCTTTTCATGCCTAGAGTCAGGCAGCCATTTCTCCATTGGATCCAGCCATGCCTGGGTGTGGTATGTGTTAAAGCCTCCTACTTCATGGTGTCTTGACATAAACAGGATAATATTCAGCCCTGGCTCCATAAAGTAACGTGGAAAGCATTTGGCAGCGTTCCTAAATTCTTGCTGTTTAAACATGAGGAAGCAGATCACTTCTGCATTCCAGCATTGATTTACAGAGACTGAAGGCTGTGAGGAATACTTCCACTTAAACTAAGCAGGTGACACAAGAGAGAGTTTCTGCATTCCCGGTTATAGGTTTGAGCCCAGTCACCCTCATGCAGTGAAGGAAGTGACCAACCTGTCAAATACATTAGTTGTAGTTAAACATTGTTTAAAACATTTACTACTTCTTTCCTGAAGTCTTTCATGAGGGCTACTGAAGGTACACTCCTCTGCATTTCTCTGTGCTGAGTGTTTGAAAAGATTTTGGGTTAACTTCACAAAGCCTTGGGTTTTATTTTAATACGTCCCAATTTTTCTTCTAATTCAAAGAACATAACTTTACTGTGTCTTGAGACAGCAGGTGCATATTCACAATGGGAGAGACTCTCAGCAGCAGAAAAAAAAAAAAAGTCACAGGCACTGCTCTCCCCCATGATCAGAACACCTGAAAACAATTTATTTTTAACAGGCCTACAGCATCCAACTTCCCCTCAGCAGCAGGCGCACTACAGCACTGGTACTGTGTAATTAGAAGCTTTGAGGTTACGCTGCATCAGCAGTGACACTAAGTTCCTGGAGAAGTGGATTTAAACTTCTGGGAGAACTCTTCCAGCACCTCCATTAGCTTCTCCTCATCCTCTGGTGGACTGTGAGTGCTTGCCAAGGGTAAGTGTGTAGGGACTGGTTGCCTGTCTGGAAGACAAAAAATAAATAAAATCCTTCTGGGTACATTTAACTACCTATTCTAGCAGAGCGGGGATTTTTCTGCTAGGCTCTATACTGCCCAAACATACCTCATGGTCTTGAAGCCAGGAGACTTACCTTCTAGGTATCTGTAAGCAATGATAGTTAAGCGTATCTTCCAAAACAGAAATGAAACTAATTTCATTTTTATTCTGGAACTAGAGTGATCGTCCTTTAGCACGATATGACTTAGACTGGGGAGCAAGACCTCACTTGCAGCCATGGACAGGGTAGATAAGGGCAGGCCTTACCGGGGGGTTTACACCTGCTCCCTGTCACTAGTGTAGCTCCTGGAGGCACAGACCGATAACTTGAGATTGTCGCTGCAGGCTGAAGTTGCTTTTTCAGCGTGAAAGAGGGTTTTTCCTTGCCTCCTGGATAATGTTTCTAGTGCTACACAAACTCCCCAGTTGGGACTTCGTCGTTTGTATACATCTTAAAACACTCACTTTCATCCTTAAAAATAAACGGTTAAATTCTAATGGCTAGAGAGCCCATTCTAATTGCTCAATCACCATAAGTAACGTGCATCCAACAAAGACACCCGAACAAATTTGCTCAATTTGATGCTTTGACTGGTTTTCCAAAGCTCGTACTCCCCGCTCACTCTGTGTAAATATACCTGTATCACCAACCTTTCTAAGGGATTTTTCTCTCCAAAAACGTGGTATCTAGAGCCTGGAAACCTTGTGACAGTGCTCTCAGATGTCTCTGAAGCAACCGTCAGAGCGCTGGTGCAGTACTGTGAGTCTGTTTTAATAAGTCCAACTTCAGCAGTAGCCAGCTGAGACTAAAAGAACGAGCTGTTGCAACACTGGGCAGCAGATTTCTCTGAAAACCTATCAGGCTGCCATCGGGCTTCCCAGGGGAGCAGAGATGTTTGCTCTCTTAAGAGCAAACATTGTAACTGGCCACGCACACACCACATAACTTCTGCTTATGGAAAACTGTGGAGAGAGAAACGTGCAGAGGAAGGTTCCCTTCTCCATCCCTGAATATGAACTGCTTCCTACCTAACTGCAGGGCTTCCAGTAGCCTGTGCTAAAGTTTGGGAACTACGTGTGAAAGTCAAGTTCAGCATCACGGAGGAGATGCTTCTAGTGTTTGGAAAGCAGGACTCTGTCAAACATTTTTTATTTATTTTGGCAGATTCAGAGAATTCTGGTTGTACGAGTCATGTTCTCACTTCCCTTTTTTTTTTTTTTCCTAAGGAAAAAAAAAATTGCTGGCTTTGGTTTGCAATCAAAGGGAGCAGAATAAAAGAGAATGGAGGAAATGGAGGGAAGATGTGACTGGTTCAGGAAATGGCCGCCTAGGACCAGAAGAGCAGGGGTTGCGGTAAAGTACTCCTGCACACAATGCCCTTTACTGAAAGGGCCTGAAGAGGGCCCATACTAAGCTGTGGCTTCCAAAGGGCACTAAGAGAGAGAAATAACTGATTTCATCACTATTTAATAAGCATGGGACATGGACACAGGACTTCTCTCGCAGCCTTAAGAGCAGTCATGCCAAGAGCAAAGCTCTCAGAAGTAATTATCTATAGCTAAAGAGCCAAGGTGTTTCCCCTGTTTACTAAAGCTGGGGGTAGACCAAAGGCAAGAGCCTGGTGGAGTGATGATCTAGAGGAAGAACAACTGAGCAGCAGCATTAGGACCAGAAGTGACAGGAGTATGAAAGAGACAGAGCCTGGTTCTACAAAGAAGACTGACCAGCTGGGATGTAGGGTTTCTGCATGCACCACACGATGACATGAAAAAGGCCTGGTTATGTATCTGTCAACCAGCCCTGTGTGATTGTCTGGGAGGGGGCAGAAGGGACAACCCAACTGTGCCAGAAATTCGCAGGATCAGGATTTGCGTGCCACATCCAACAAAAGCACTGGGCTCCTGTAAGCAATTACCCTGAGCTTTTCCTATCTCCTGCTGGACTGACCTGCGTCATCATTAAGACATCTATGCTTCCAGCTGCTCCTGCTAAGGTGCCTGTCATTCACATGGCAGAAAAGAAAGGCTCTGCCCTATTTTTCCATTTCCTATGCTTACAGTGCCCAGAATGCCACTGTGCTCAAGTCTTTGCCCAGCGCTAGAGAAAGGGGGAGTTGGCAGTTTTAACTAGCACAGAATGGTAGGAAGAAGAGCTTGTCAAAGCAAAGCCAACCCCCAGTGCTCTGCAAGAAGGATGCTAGCTTCCCAGCATCATAAAAGATGCTGTTTGACTGCTGTGATTCACCTTAGAACCCTTGGCACAGTCCTGCATACAGCCATTTTTGTTAACAAAAACACAGACCCTCCCTAAGGAAATGCTTTGAAGTCTCTATCAGCTACTTTAGAGCTCAAAACCTGGAAGATAACAACTTAACAAAGTCGTTCTCTGGTTGCAGAATGCTCCCTTGAACCTTTAGTCTTGGAACGATTTTGAGAAATACTTTATCCTTTGAACAAGGGTTGCCTGGTCGAGCCTTCATCCCCTTCCAGGCCAGATGGGGATCCTACAGCAGCTTAGGGATCTCCACTGCCACACGATGTAAGACACGGCCACCTTACCTTGGAAGAACAAGCCGCTCGGGAACTTCGTTGCTTCAGGTGATACTGCCAACCATACAACAGTATCAGCTCCCTGGGCCTCTGTGCGCAGAGTATTCTTCATCTTCTGATAGAAATCTGGCATTGACGATCTCACAGCTAGAAAGAGTAACAATGGAATCGTGGTCTGCCATGCAAGGCTTTTTTGATTAAAAAAACCCCAAGCCCCAAAACAGCTTAAAATTGCCATTGTGAGTGTAGGAAGAAGACAAGGCACCTCAGAGTTCATGAAAGAATGAGTATTTCCCAACAGCTAGGAGTATGAGGACTTCTGGTGGAACAGCACTAAACTGCCAGATGATCCACCAGTTGTGAGTTTGGGTCAAGTTACACGGACAAAACTCGTAGGAGCTGAGAACAGGATCAGTGAGGGGTTCCTGAGCCAATTCCATTCTAAGTTGCAAAAAAGTAAGACATGGGGGAAACAGAAATACCAAAGCCCAGCTATTCTACCAGGATTTTTCACTCTTATCTTCTCACCAGTTTTAGGAAACCAATTGCTGGATTATATTTTAAAATTGTACAGTAAATAGTACCTAAACCAACGATATAATTCATGTTTAAACTCTGGTTTCTTTTTATTTTGTCCAACAGGTGATGATTGAAGGTCCATCCCCTTGCAGCTGTTGATTTCTGGGGGTTGGAGAGTCCTTGAACTTTAAGGTGGGAACTTTATGGTTCATTAGGTTTGAAATCCACAAAGGATGTGCAAAAATAAATGTATTTTAAAGAAAAAGAAATACAAAGATTTTTAGTTGGAAAGGGCAGCTTTCAAGCATAACGTAGACGGGGTAAATGCTTCTGTCATCAGAAGCAAATCTGGGAAACTGCATTCCTAGAAAAGACCTAGAGATCGGATTGCTAGTCTGCATCCCAAGCTTGGGTGTTAGGGGCTGGTAACACACTGCGGAACACGAAACGCATACTGGATAACTGATGCTGGCCCGCCTGCTGAGACACAGTCACTGAAGAACAGCTGCAGCTCAGACAAAGGGCTGTCTGGCCAAACACGCTGCTTCTCGACGGCAGTAAATGTTTAGAGGAAGAGCAGAGGAACAGGGCTTGCACAATGGTGCATGCTCCATTTTCCTCTATGCCCTTGCAAATTCCCAACGTCTGCATGTTGGTACTCAGAGAGGCAAAAGTTCTCATCTGTGTGTTTAACAGTCCCACTACAAATGTAACTTAAAGGTTAGCTTAATGCACTATGGCTCTGCTGTGCCTTTGCGCGGAGCTGGAACCATTCACTGCCCATTATTATTCTCCGGCTATACACAGATAGCAGACACCGTGCAGAACAGAGCTACCAAGGGGGTACAAAACTACTTCAAGCATGAGTTTGGAGCCAAGAAATCACTGCACCTGTTGGAAAAATCTACCAGAAAGTCTCATTTCTCCTTGCTTTTAGACTAATCCTGGAAAGAAGAAAAATACGGTCAGTGTCAGGCAGATGTTACCTGGAGTGTCTGCCCAGCCGGGGTGCATAACAGAGAAATGGATGTTTCGGTGAGATTTTGCCCACTGTTCTGTCAAGACAACTTGCTGTCTCTAGGATAGAGCAAAAAGAGCCAGACTAGCATCAAGTTCAATAGCCTGTCCACCAAGTTAGTTCCCCAGGAGATAAACTACACCAAATATGCTGTAAATACCAGAGCATTTACGTACAGCAGAAGTATACCCTTGCTCATCCTGATTGCATTACAGGATAATTTTGTCAGAGATCACCACGGTCATTGCAATCCACATCCTGGCCACAAGCTTACTTTTGAAGTGGTTACACTGCTTTTACTGACCACGTCTACTTGCTGCAGACTGTAGGCAAGAACTAAGCAGGCAGAAAGGGTTTGTCAGCTAAAGACAGTTCTCCCCCTGGAGACTTAAATCAAATCAAATGAAAGTCTAGCTGCGCTCTCCACACAAGATGGTATGTACTCATAACTGCGTGCCACCGTACTCCTGAAGGTTATAGCTCTGTACGGGTTGGAAGCAATGGGAAAGCAACAGTGAATGACAGCCTTTTTGCAAAGCAGATGGTGTATAAGCCACCAAGCAAACAAGTGCCGGGCTTGGTTTTCAAAACCATGGACTGTACCTTGTTTTGTGCATACACCATAGTTCCATCAAACGTCCCATTTCCCGACTGCAAGTCAGATATGTTTAATTTTTGAACTAGCATGCCCCCCGAAGAGACAGTTATCTGTAATCAAATGAATGAAAAACAAATGAATGAAAAGCAAATGGATGAAAAACAAAACCAAGAATGCCCCACAATTGCACTCATGCATGTTAATGTGGTCTTCAGGCTGTATTTTGAAGTCCCTAGGAGGAGGATTCCTCTTTGCGCTATGCTTGTGCTCATGTGTGCAGCATACCTGGAGATGAGGTGGAAAACAGAATTTTTTTTTTTAAGAAAGTGATTTTCATTCAAAGCCGCGTTGACTCCATCAGGGAACTTTGTGCTTCTTCCTTTTGAACAGTAATTGGGAGAAAGAAAATAGCAGAATAGCACTATTTGTAGTTTATGTTTAGCATTTATAGAGGCTAATTAGAAAACAAGAGAGACTGTACAAAACTTGGGAAATCTCATTTAAAAAAAAAGTATCTGCTGTCCACTTTTATGCCATGACCTGTAAGGTTCTTTTAAGCCTATGCTCCCGTTACAGGCATTTTGCACTATGCTACAAGAGGTAACTTAGAATCATAGAATCACTCAGGCTTTAAGATCATCAAGTCCAACCGTTAACCTAACACTGCCATCCCACTACTAAACCATGGCCCTAAGCACCTCGTCTACCTGTCTTTTAAATACCTCCAGGGGTGGGGACTCCTCCACCTCTCTGGGCAGCCCATTCCAATGCTTGACAGCCCTTTCAGTGAAAAAATTTTTTCTAATGCTCAACCTAAACCTGCCCTGTCACAACTTCAGACCATTCCCCCTCGTCCTATCGCCCATTACCTGGGAGAAGAGATCAACCCCCTCCTCACTACACCCTCCTTTCAGGCAGCTGTAGAGGGCGATAAGGTCTCCCCTCAGCCTCCTCTTCTCCAGGCTGAACAACCCCAGTTCCCTCAGCCACTCCTCATCAGACTTGTGCTCCAGACCCCTCACCAGCTTTGTTGCTCTCCTCTGGACATGTTCCAGCAACGCAACGTCTTCCCTGTAGTGATGGGCCCAAAACTGAGCACAATATTCGAGGTGCGGCCAGGGAACTTGCCCCAGGGAAACTAAAAGAGGAAGTTTCCAAAGGAAGTGTTTTACTCTGCTTTCCACTGAAGGGTTGAGAGTAGCAGGCAGGAGCTTTGCCTTGGAGAAGGAAGTGGTTGTTAGCAAAATCTAGGAGGATTCTAGAGATGCTTACAGCATTAGAACTAATCCTGCATTGCTAGCACAGTCAAAGAAACGCTGTCACAAACCAGAAGGTAAGAATAGTAAAACACCGCTTTTCAACAGCATTGCAAACTCACCACTCTGGCATCAGCTTCTTTTTCCAGGAGGGGCAGCAGGGCAGTTGTCAGAACGTATGTACCTACAAGTCAGACAGACACCAATGTTAACTTTTCCTTTTTAAAAAGGCTTTCTTCTCTCTCCATCCCTTACCACAGCATCTCTTTATTTCTGAAACTTCATCTGAATTTAGTAATTTCCTTGTTGCTTTACCTGCAACATGCCTATTCAACTTCTTGTAGTCTGCATTGCTGCATACTTCTCAAAAGGAGTATCTGCTATTTTATAGACTTTTATGTTTATTGTACCTATAGAGCAAACTGATCACTACATTCTAGCCCTGACTGCAAAAGCAAAATGGCTCAGGTATGGATTTCCTCGTGAGTGAGTTGATGCCAGTGAAAAAATAGGGAATGCATTTCCACTCCATGTGTGGCATATATACACATATCTATGCCGGGTCACGAACAAGAGAGGGGAACTGTGCTTCACGCTTGTGCTTCTTAGGCCTTGCATATGCAAATTAAGACCCATCCATTTTCACCTTCTCACTGTGAAATCACTCAGAGTGCCCCGACACTTCTGGTTTGTGTTGCGCACAAAAACTGCTTCTTAAATCCCCAGCACGGTTATTACAGAAGATAAGGAACCCTTGGGGGAAAAAAATATTAATGTTGCATGCCCAAGGCTGAGCTAAGATTACGTGGGGAAGCTGAACTGTGTCTTTCCCCACTTTAACTGTGTTCCTTCAACATAGACTTGTACACACCACACAAATATATTCCATTACAGCTGTTACCATGACCAGCAAAGTTTGTTATTCAAAACATCGTTTGCCTGCTAGTGTTTGATTCGGACACACCTAGTGATGTTTCACCCACTTGAGTGCAACACGGGGATGTTTGGATTTAACTCTTCAAAGATATTTTTTAATCTTTTTGCCCTTTAAACTTGAAAAAAAAAAAGTTTAATTCAAAATTAATCTAGCCCCGCTTAGTCTAGTGTTTCTTCATCGAGTATAATACTTTCGCCTCTTCACAAGTGGCTCTAGTTCAACAATTCTATGTCAGTGACAAACGTATTTTTTTCCATGAGCTACCGAGGGCCATGTTTTTCACTAGACATGAAGACTTCAGCATGCGGCTTTATAACCTCCCTTCCACAGAGGCAGTGAGATCACCCAGTTAAAATACAGCGTGTTTATAAACATGCTACCAAAAATCAAACGCATTACATGCTTGGTGAACAAACTGCTCATCTCCCCAGTCAGTCACAGCAGTCTTCATGTTCTCTGCAGAATCAGAGGGACACCCATATGCACGCAATAGATTTAAAATCCTGGCAAATCAAACAAAGCGAATGCACAGCAAATGAGTAAATGCAGCCTGTCTTCAGCAGAAAGTGCAAGCAAAGGCAGTTGCCAGCTAACAACGAGAGCCGTACGTCTCCCCTGGTAGTGGCGGGGACTCTGAACGATGACATCATTAGGACAAGAACTACTGCTGATTGTCATGGGAGACTGCCACAATGTTTAAAAAAAAAAACCAAACCCGAAATCACTTCAATACAAGCCGAGAGCCTGGATTAAATTTTGATTTGCTATGGATTCTTCAAATGCAAAGCAACATCATGTCAGTTAAATATGCTGCATTTCCTAAAGGCAGAGCTGCAATGCACCAGCCACGAGAATGCTCGATTTTACTGTCCTGCAGATTAATTTACACTTTCAAGGGGCTTCACGTTGGTTTGTTAATTCTAAAGGGATGCAAAGATGAATGCATTAACATTGCCTCATTAACAACTGGGGTTTGTTTTGTTTTCCAGATGGATGAGAGAAATGTCCAATGCCAAAAATCCTGCTTACAGCAACTACAGCTTGTCAGAAGTTTATGCGCTGATTTAAAACCACAAACTAACTGCAAAGCCAGCAACTCCTCTCTTCCTCAAGTTTATTAAGAATTCAGTAAATCCCACAGAGCCAGAGCATTCAATCTTTTTGCCCCACAAAACCATTTGCTTTGAGACAGAGAAAAAAAAAGCAAATCAACCAACCAGTTTTGACCCCAGCTTGCTATGGTAAGCACTAGTATCCCCAAACACACACAGATACAACACATCAGGCATTAAGACTGAAGCTTTTCATTTCCCCCACTACTAAATATTTCACCAACTATTGTCCCCCTTTTAAGTGTTCGAATACAAGCTCCTTAATACCCTAACAAATATATTTGGATATTATACTTTTTTATTCGCATGGGCTGGTCAGGCAAAACAACCTGGACAAGAAATTTAGTACAATAATAGTAGAATAGATATACCCTATTAGTAAGGTTTATTGTTGTTTGGAATACACCCTCATCAATTAAAACCTCCACTTTTTTATTCACGTGAAAGCTGGCATATAGTTTGATAGTACGTATGAATAGGAACAGTGCTAAGTACTTTGCCAAACACAGCTGTATTGCAGCATGCAGTAACACAGGAATCAATTTCTAAGTAAAAGGGGAAGCTGCAAATGAACGCCTTGCCTGCTGCAGTCCTTATAAACACAGGAATTGCATTTACAGTACCAAAACAAAAAAGGAGAATGTTCTTTTAGTACAAAAACCAAAAAAAAACTTTGCAAAGAAAACCAAGACTGAGTGGTAGAAGAAACTACATTCCCCTCTCACCCCACTTAAATAAATCAAGCCAACAACCACGTTGTATACCCTTTTGCTACTAATTTATTATTAATATCAATGTACTGGACGCCTGCCTTTCCAAAATGAACATTTCAGCATTCTAATATGTTTTCTTGACACAAAAATAATTTTTGTCTGTTAAAGGAGAAACCTCCTCCCACAGAGCTTAGTTAAAAATGGTAGAGCATATCAAGTGTGATTAATGCTTGATAATCACTGTGTTCAAACGGTACAGATTTTTTGAGGCGGGGTTTGTTTTGGGGTTTTTTTCATTGTTTAAAAGACCAAGAGAAAACACAAAGATGCATGGAGGGAAAGGTGATGATCAACAGTGATGTGCCTTGCACTGAAAGCATTAAGTATTGGGTATCTTGGTGATCCTGCCCCTCCTCTGAGAGGACCTTTGGGATTCTGCCAGAAAAAAACCAAGGAAGGCCTTTTTTCCCAGAAAACAAGAGCTGCCACTACTCCTGGGGGATTCTGGAGAAGGCACGACCTCGTCTCAAGCAGATACTCTGCAAATGGAGACGCTCAGCCTTGAGGCCACCACGCTTCCCAGTGCCTGTTCCCCAGCAGGCGCACCCATGACAGAGGAGGAACAGACACATGGCAACTGGGAGCAGGATGTTTCTGTCTGAACAGTTCTCCTGGACTATGGCCCATTTCTTGCACAAGCCTGAGTGCAAGAGTGGAAAAGAGCAGGCTACTTTGAATTACTCACATGACAGAAACCTCGAGCGGCATCCTCTCTCTCTCACACACGTCTCAGACCCAGCAGGCAGAGAACTATGCATACACCTACAAGGCAGCGCTGGACATATGGCTGTACAACCTGTATTTATGACTGTGTGACACAGATCAGACCATTATACATTCCAACGGCAGGAAAAGGTGATGTATATTGTCCGCATGGCCTGAAAGCTTGGCTCCCACTGGTGTAAAGGTGGAAAAAACAAAACACCAAACATTTTTGCAGCAAAACGGTATACACATTTCCTTCTGAAAGGAGTATTTGTTGTGCCATAAAAAGAAACCAGCAAGATTAATTCGGGCATTCAGCCCATCACCCACACATACAGGATTTCATCTTGCCCTCGCTGAACTCTGCTGAGGTAAAGAGTTGACTACAGAAACCAACTGGACAAGCTACATCCCTGTTCCATGTAATGAGGTTTGACACAGTACTTGCTGGCCATGTTTTCTCCAATTAAAGAGGCTCCTGGGATTGATGTACAATTTCTTTTAAAGATAAACATCCTCTCAACATTTGCTTTTCTTTGGAAAAATTCCTCTAAGTTTTATGTTTTGAAGCTGAGGTCACATAACAGGAAATCATGTATATTAAAGTGTAATTAAAACCTTCCTATAAGGATACAGCAACCCGCTCCAACAGTTCCATGTCCTTCTTGTGCTGAGGGCTCCAGAGCTGGACACAGTACTGCAGGTGAGGCCTCACCAGAGCAGAGTAGAGGGGCAGAATCCCCTCCCTCGACCTGCTGGCCACGCTTCTCCCGATGCAGCCCCGAGGACGGCTTCTGGGCTCAGCACACATTGCATTCTAATTAACAGCTCCTGGTTTTAACTCCATACAGCAAACTCCTCTGTCAACCTGTATGAGCTGTAATTCAGTAGTTTCATGATCACAGAATAAAACTTTAGTGATGCAAGTGTAGAAAATGAGGAGCTGTTACACAGAGATAAACATTCAATTCTTAAACTAAGTTGTTTAAAAAAAAATAAAACTACAAAAATAAGCCTGTCTGCTTTATAAACTCCTAAATAAGATCTCCACCATTACATACCATTCAACCAACTCTATCATGTGGTAGATTAGACAGCATGGGTTGTGAGTCTGTGCATTACACATAGTAATTCCGGTAAAAGCAACAAGCATGGCACTTAATGAGAACACACTTTGTTCATACACACTCCCTCCCAAGTGCAGATCACAGTAATGTTTAAGTTTCGTGTTTACTTGCAGAAAAAAAAAAAAAAAAAAAAAAAAATCCGGCTACCTTCTGCACTACCTGAAGTAGAAGCTGAGAGGACTCTACAGAAAACACCGTCAGGTCTTGCGGGAAGGTAGCTCTGCACGTTCTTGCAACAGTTAGCTCACCGTGGATCTCACCATCTCTACCACAGCATAACCAAAGTGAAAGCTATCCCCCTGCAAGGGACAGAAGTCTATGGTGTATTAGACACTGGTCTTTCCCACAGAAGGCTACAGATCTTTCTGTACTAGAACATGAAATTAAGCAAAACACAGAATAGCCCTAACAGAAAATATTAAAAAAAAAAATTGAACCACCATGCATTCCCTTGTGGCCCATTTTGTAATTGTTCCACTTGCTCTGAGATCTTCTCAGTTTAGTTGAGTAATCTGATCACAGAATCAGAA